TGGGCCGAGGGGGGCGGGCAGAGCGCGGCGGCGGCTCCTCCTCTGCCGACATGTCGCTCGCGAAGTAGCGTCAGCTTCCCCACTCTTAATTTTTTTTTTTTTCTCTCAAAGCGCTACGTGTGCTGTATGTACGCACTGCACTGTTTTGAGTTGGCATCCGGTGGCCTCTTTATGGGCGAAAGTGAAGTTTAGCAACAAACTGCTACGACTGTGCATCTTCTCACGTCTGCTAAATGCTTGTGTGCAGGGTTCTGGTTGGGGCAAAGTCAAAGAAGTTGCCCCGACGCTTTCTGTTCTGGGGAGCGTGACTTCTGCACTCTCGTTCACCTCATGCTGCTTTCATACTAACCATTTCCTCCTCCTCTTTGCTTCCAGTGCTGTCAGCTGCTACTAGCATTGTTATTCTCCTGCTTCGCTCCTCAACTATACCAAGAGTTGGTTTTGATCTTCCTGCTTACTAAGTCCATGCTCCAGGGTCATGTGCAGCCAGTGCACTGCAACCGGGAAGCTTAGTATTTTCCCTCTGTGGTTTGGTGTCTACAGAACCTTGGAGGTGTTCCTCCTTTGGAAATGTTTTATCTCCTTTGATGTTCCTCATTTCCTTCCCATTGGGCACAGCAGGGCTAGGGATGGTAGAAAACAGTAATTTTAGAGTATTTTTAGAGCGGAGATGTTGCACCTACTTTTATAAAGAAGACTTTAGCCTGGAATAGTGTTCTTCTGAAACATATGAATTTCCTTAGATGAATAATAGGTCTTGGAATAACTGTATATTGAGATTCATAATTCAGTTTACATCTTTCAGAACACTAACTCAGCTATTTCAGACTTGCTGCAAATTTGGGCAGGCACCTCTTGAGCTGGTTACTTATATCTAGATATGCATATATATACACACAGAGGTTACTTTTAAAACTTTGAATTTTAGCATGAGGTTTAGAACATCACTCTCTTTCAAAGGAAAGCAGAGGTTCTGCTTTCATCTGACTGCAGGTTTTTGTGTCACTGTTAAGAACCAATAAGGCTGATGATGTAATCTAAGCCCAAACTCCATTTCTGTTTTACGGGTTCTGTGCCCAACTTCTTCCTTCAAGACCTGCTTCTTTAGCCCTGTTTTCCCATCCGGCTATGGAATTGGGAACTGGTTTGAAACACTTAACTTTTTAATGATATTTTGAATTGAGGTGGAAGCAGGGCAAAGAAGGAGGAAAGGAGCAAAAAAGACTTATAAAAGGTCAGAGATGTGGTTTTGATGGTTTGTTTTTGTTTTTTTCCAACGAGTGGTAGAAAATCATTGAATAATTTTGATTTCTACATAAGATCATGATTTTAATTGCTGCTATTACATAACAGGTAATAGAAGTAGGAGCTGTATTTCAGCTGTTGAATCAGCTAGGAATCATTCCTTTTGTAATGCTGGTAAGGGGTTCTGTACTGTGTATCTGTCTGTAGTTCATTGCTGAGTGGTTTTGATGCAGATGCTGTAAATTGTATTGTGCAGAGAATTGGAGGAGGTAGCTAAAGTTTTGCATGACAGTAGCCCGCCTGTTTTTGCTTGTCCTGTTGCAAGAGCATTTATTTCCTATCAAAAACTGTTTGAAGGTGTTTTTCTTCCCTTCTTGGCAATATATGTATCTTTGTTAAAGGTGGGATTAAGAAAGGATGTAGCATTTGGAGTTGTAAATCTGTTGTGGATTTCACAAGGAAGAACTCAATCAATGTATTTTTAATTCATGAATCCTTTTTAAAAGAAGGGCTTTTCTTTTGCCCTGCCTTTCAGATGATGATATAAGCAAACACTTTGTTAATAAAGGAGAAGAACAAGGGGCTTGAAGTAAGCCAGAAGGAGACAGTGGGCTGCTAATTGTGTGAATGAATGCCCCTCTTTTTATTTTATTTTATTTTTAATATTGTAATTCCAGATGTTAGAGGCTTAGCAGGAAGAAAGTGACATGTCAGCCTGAAAAAAGAGATACCTTCATTGTACGTATATTGTTTTGAAATAATTTATCATTAGAATAGTATAAATACGACATCTTGAACACTGATCTTTGTCCAATGACTCCAATAAAAGTAGATGAAAATATATGAGACGTAAGTGTACTGTTGTATTTAGAAGGTTTCAAAATGTAATGAAGGTCTGAGATTTGGAAAACTTGCCAGACAGTACCTAGTGGGCAGGCTGTGTGATATTAAGAACAGAGTTCCTTTGGTGTTCTGTTGGCTAAACTAAGTTTCTTTCTCCCCTTTGTTTGTGTAGGGATACAGGTTAAACTGCTTTGCGTTTTTTAGTTAAGACCTCTATAAATTTGGTTCCTTGACTTTGGAATCCAACAGATAATTTATCTGCGTGCTTAAATAATATATAGTGAATGTTTATTTTAAAGTAGTATCTGTTAATGGCATAGGAATCAACCTGAGGTATGAAAAGTCAATTTCATATCTTCCTTTAAATACAGGATGTAATTGGAGGTCTTTTTGTTCTCTGTGATGCCCTGCTGAGACGGGAAAATTGCCCCAAATGCTAGCATTTCTATCATTCATTTTCAAGACGTGCATTCCTTAGAACTTTGGCCATTCCTGTCTTATAATATCAGCCTTTGAACCTGTAAAGAGACAATTCTGTCTTGTTATATTCCAGCAGGGACTTTTACAGGTAAAGGTCCCCCCCCCACCCCCAAGTTATGTTCCTAATTCTCTTGTATTTTAGTGCTGGAGAAGGCGTTTGATTGGACTTCAAGTTCTCCCTAGTCTTCCTAGCAGTCAGGTATTTTTTTTGAGGGGTTCCAAGTTAGTTTACTTGGGTACCACTGTTACCTGCAAAAGCTTCATGTGCTTCCTTCAGCAGCACAAAGAGCAGACCACATTTCTGTGAAAGGAGAAACTTGTCTCTGACCCTTTCTTCCCTGTGCTGCACACCTTGCTCCTCTCCCAGCATGCCAAGTTCATCTATCTTTATATGCTTACAGTATGTAATTCTGCTGCTGCATTAGGGCTTTAACTCTATGTAACCCGAACTTGTCTTCCTTGCTCTGGTACCTGCCATTCCTTTTCCTCTGTACCTCACACTCTTGGCCTTCCCAAATGGAACCCCAGTGCCATAGCCTTGTCATCTTCTCTTGCAAACTTCTTGACTGCACGCAGGGATACAGACCCTGTTCTTTCAGCTGCCTTTCAGCGCGCACGCGTGCTTATGCTGTGTTCTGTGCTTATAATGTGGTTCTGGTCTTATCCACACCTAGTCTTTCTCTGTTACTTGGAGAAAGATGTACAGTTCCTAGTGCTGTCTTAACTTCAACAGCAGAGAATGCTGGGGAGAGGGGAAAACTAACTGGCAGTAGCTGCCTCCCATAGATGTTCGTACCCTGTAACTCTTGACAAATTCTTCCCAGCAGGCAGAGTAGGAAACTGCCCCACCTCATCCTACTTTGAGGTGATTTGTATACCACAGTTTTGGGGAACTTCTGAAATATATGCTGAAGTGAGACTATATTTGAAAGGATTAAATACTGATTTTTTTAATTCAAGACTTTTTGACTTACAAGTTAGATCTGAACAAGAATATTTACTGAAATAAATAATGCAAAAAATGTAGGCTTTTTGAAGAATGTGTTTTTAAAATGGCTATGTATTCTGAGCAACATGTTATAACTCATGATGCTTTTAGAATCAGTTTTCTAGGAGTATGGCTAAAAGTTAGTTCATTATTATTTTTTAACAAAATAATATTGTCTCTCACACTACTTTGAAATTCTGTTTGATGATCTCTGTTAAGGCTGAAATGCGTTATAACTATGGCAATTCAGAAGTTTATGCCAAGTTGCAGTAGTGAATCCATTACAAATTCTAATGAACTTAAGGCTTTTGCTCTTTAACTTGTAGATGGAATTAGCAGAAATATCTCTTTAATCTTGACTCAAGTGTTGCAGTGTCACTTGCTGGATTGTGACGTAAGTATTTAATTTTTAGTCTTTACGGTAGAAAAATTCTTGATTATTAGTTTCCAATTGTTTGTAGTTCAGATAGTGTACATATAGAACAGCTTTCTGCCCTTGTCACTTTGAATTTTAATGTACATAGCATGAGTAGAACAAATATGATCTCCTTTGAATTAGTTCATTTGAAGGTTGGAAACTGATTGCCAGCTGATAAATCAGAAAGGTTTGCTTTCTCTTCTCCCTTTAAATAAAAAGCAGTTTTGAGCAGATGAGATCTACTAATTTAAGAAGTGCATGCAATACTTTTCAGTGGTATTTAGGCAAAAAAGGTGCATACACTTGTACTTAAAGGTGTAAGTTGTACACCCTAGGTGCACTGCTATAAAGTGCAGATGGGTACTTAGTAGGATTTTGAGAAGTATTTAGGTACTTTTAAAAAATACTGCTGGATACATATCTATATGATTGTGCACTTAAATACCTCTTGAAAACAAGACCAGTGGACACCACAGAAATTGTACATGGTACGCTCACCATAGCTGCTCGTTTTGCTTAAGAAGCTATTCTAGAATATTAAAACATCTGAGTAAACTCTTCTGCCCAGGTTTATCTGAGTATTTAAGTGAGACTAGCTTAAGAATAATAACTCTTCTCCTTCACTTCTCCTTCCATTTTTCTATGCGCTCTAATTCAGATTTTTTTTTTAATTGTGAAGAACTATATTTGGATAGAAAGGGTATGTGTATTTAATATAAGTAAATACTTTTCCTTGAATACTTTTTATGTAGGTCCAGTGAATCTTTCTGATTAGGTCAAAATTACTAATATGAGTATAAAGACAGGATTTATTTGTAAGTAAGCCCTTGAATGTATTTCTACTAAATATTGAGGATGAATATTTTTGAGACTTACAAAGTACAAGACAAAACAGGTAAAAATCATTATTTAAAGCAAGATTTCTTATGTGCTGATTTAAACTATAGTTAAACCATGATCTAGTCACTTTACCTATATTGGTCCATCCTGTTTTGTACTATATAGAAAGAAATACGATCTTCTCTCTTAGCGATTTTAAATAACAATAGCATCATTTCTTTTCTCTTGTGACAAAGATGGCTTACCAGAAGTGAGCATACAGTGTGCTTTACCTGTGATGGTTGCCTGGAGGGGTGGTATACTGGGAGTAGGACCGCTTCTATTATGCGTCATTGAAAGCCATTTGGAGAGGCTCGCTAGCAGGATGAAAGTTACTGTGGAATACGCGAACTTAATTTTATTTGCTAACGTGTGTTCTGGAGTAATGTGGAGATGACTCCCAGGGAAAATTATGAAATTAATATTGAGTTTAGTTTATCTGAATGTTTATTTCTTTTAAGTGTGTCTACCACCTTTTTGACTTGTACAGATACCATAATTATTTATCATTGGTATTTCTACTGATATTTTTGAGGAACGTGATGATGACGTTTTACTTTTTTAACCAAAACACTTGTGAAATGTCTTATGGTAATGGAAAGCATACTTACGTATCTTAGCATTGAGCTGTGTTATGGGCACTTGGAAGAATGAACGGTAATTACATGCTTCAGATAAAGAAGAAACATATATTTCAAAACAGGTGAATAATCAGGTTTTCTGTATGACCAATAATATTTGTCAGAGTGACAGTTATCTGTATGGCAGTAATGTTTTAGCTATATGCCCTTTTTCTTTTTTTAAATTGGCTTAATGCGGGGGACTTTGCTGTGTTACAAGGAGCCTTGTTGTTGTGGTGTGTTTTTGTTTTGTTTTTGGTTAAGGCATTTCATCCCTTCTGAAACTTATATTGCCATGTGACCAGAGGTTAAAAATCTTACTGGCTGCCCAAAACAGCAAAGACTTGTCCTAAATAATTTCTGCCACGAGACACTTGGGGTGGGTTGAGGAAGTGAAAATGCATGTTATTAGAACTAAGTTATTCAACTGGAAATTGGGAAGCCTGTTTTCAATTCCTAGTTTGTGACTTTGAGCAAGTACTTACTCCATCTGTAGTTTTGTCAGGGATTTGTGCGTAGGGGAAACTTCCTAAAGCTTGTTGTGTTAATATAGAAATAAATAATTTATTTTAAAGATGCCCAGATACAATAGTGGAGTATCAGAACAAAGCTTATTCAAATGATAATTCAAGGGATGTCCTTTTGTATACCTCAGTGCAATATTTAATTTTATCTTATAAATCTTTTTTGCTTTTCTGGTTGCAGTTCTTGCATTATACTTTTTTTTTCTTGGTTAGGAAATTGGAAAGTCGTGTTGGTGTCATCTGTGTATTTACTTCTTTTTCTGGAGAGGGAGGCAGAAGCAGTAGCTCTATGACTTGATATGACACTGCTAGGAAGAGTCAAATTGTATGATTTCTCTCCAAGGATCTTCTCTTTGGGGAAAAAAGTATTAAATAGGCTGCACTGTTAATTCTTGGAAGCTCATTCTAAATACACTAATCTTGGCAGTGGGCTACAGTACTTGGGCTCTGTCGTGGAGAATGAAAATGCAAGTGTAACTTAAGAATGTCATTGCCACTGAAAAAGCATGCTTTTGCAGAGGGCTTTATTTCTTGCCATAAAAATAGCTTGGGATGATAAAGTCTCCAGTTTGTTCAAGCATTGAATTTGCAATGTGACGTGAAGCTTAAAATTAAAGCCAGGTCAAGTGCCTTTTTCTTGCTTTACGTGTGGTGCTGCTTTTGTCTAATCTACTTCTGTGGACATGTGGAGTATTTGAATTTGGAGTAATCCTCCTGAAAAGTAAGTTGTGATAGCAGAAGAAAAATGCTGCAGTCAGAAACGCAACTTGACTGTTGTCCTGTTTGCATGCAAAACAAAATGTGAGCGGCTTCCCCTGTAAGTGCTGAATAAGGGCCCTTGCAGGAGGTCCTAGACGAATTCCTCCTACTGTGGTGATGAACAGGTGCGAGTTTAGGCTTACAGGGCACAGGAATGCAGGTCACTTGGCTCAGCCAGGCTCCTCTCCCCTTTTAGGAAGGTGCTATAGATAGCAATTGATTAGGCCTTGGAAACAAGCAAGAGGCATATATGCTCTTTCGTACTTGGGTTTAGCCATTCCCATCTGAATTTTGAGAATGCCAACTGGTGAATGGAGGGCGTTGATTTCAAACTGGTAGCTGTAGGAGGAGCAGGAGTTCTGTTTAATCTTGTCTCGTATTTGTGCATGTACACACACACAGGAGGAAGGAGAGTGGGGGTCATCCTTTGGGAGGACAGGTTTCCCTGGCGGGCAGGGGAAGGAGCAATACACTGAAAAGACAAGTGAGGCTCCACAGCATGACTGGAGAGAGCCAGACTGCATAGAGACTACACTTGCAGAGCTGTGTGATGAAGTGATGAATGCCTGGACAAATACTGGGTCTTCTGGAACTTCTTTTGTCTTGTAGATTGATGGTGGAACTGTGGGCATTTGTGTTCCAGCTTAATGGAGGCTCCCTTTTCGTGTTCATTCCTGGTCCCTGTCCTCGTCCTTTTTCCTTCTCCCCTTCCCCCTTCGTTTCCCAAGGGAAAATGTACGATCGTATGGCCGATACGATTGTACCGGGGTGGATCTGTTTAATAGGGCTACGTGCTGGTGTTCAGACTTTGGAGTGAGAAGAATTATGTATGTGTTTGGGAAATAATTGATGAGAAGTTTGTTATAGGCTTGATAAACTTAGGCATTACCAAGATAAACTTCGGAATTTTCCCATTTTATAATCGTGTGTGTTAGGTTGAGGAGGGGAAAATAAGGGCAAACAAATAGTGTTTCTGCTGCATCATTCAAACCATTGCACATGTAATCAATCAGAAAGCCAGCTAATCTCCAGGTGGACTTAAGGGAGTGGTGAATGTATGGTTGGAGCTGTGTAGGCAAGCACTAAACACAGTTTATGCTGTGGTTTGGGGGAGAAATTTTGTATGGTATTTTTTTTTTTTTTTGTAACCAGGCTTTCCATTTGGTAACATTCCATGTTTGTGACTTCCTTTTACCTGTACTAGAGTTGCTGCTCTTTGCTGTGGTAACGCTTCATGCTTTAAGAAGTCTTTGAATGTAGCCTGTCTAAATATGGAAACATGTGCTTTATAATTAAGTATCTTTCCTGATTGCATGTCAGAACGTCACAAATTAACATGGAACTTGTGCATGCAGTTGTGTAATTATACACTCAACCTTTACGAGCACTATTTCCATATGAAAGTTTTAGGGACATATTTTAGTTCTTAAAATACTTGTTGTTTCTGTTGAACACTGAAATGTTGAACATTGGAAAAATGTAAGTCAATTTTTTCTTTCTAAAACAAAGTGTTAAGTAATTGCGCTTTACAACCCTCAATGATGCCTTTTTTATACTGTCAAAATTATATACACATAGATAATATATATTTTTCTATATTATAACAGTGGTAAAATTGTTTTTTTCCCCCCTTCAGGAATTGTGGTGCTTGGATTAAACAGATCTCATGCCAAGAATGCACTTAACAAAAATCTTTTAAAAATGGTAAGTGGAAAAAATAGTTTCTAGTATTAAGGTGAAGTATTGGAATTAAGTGCTTTAAAAAGTGTTTGGTTATTCCCTTCCCTCCTTTTCTCTGTAGATGTCAAAAGCTGTGGATGCTTTGAAATCTGATAAGAAAGTACGAACTGTTATATTCCGGAGTGAAGTCCCAGGGATATTCTGTGCTGGTATGCAAACTTAATTTTCCTGAGAAGCTGGAAATCTGTAATCTAATGTTGCACAAAAAAAAAAGCCCAGATTCCAAGGAAGCATGTCTGTTTATATGCATTTTAGTAGCAGGCAAAACATTTTTATATGTTTTTCTCAGTTGCTAATAAAACAAATATCTGATTCTTGTTCTTTCTGTGTCATAAAGTATTTCAAATGTATGCTAGATTATTCATGATGATGGAAAATTACTTAATTGAGCTCCTATAAAATGTTGCCTATATTTCAAAATGAGGACCAAATATTGCTAAATGCCATATAGGGAGACTGTGTAGGAAGCAATATTAAAATTGTATTTTAAACAATTTATCTTTAAGAAACATACTAAAAGTTAAGTAAGCTTAAAACTAAAATTCATGGTGAAGGATGGTTGTTACTGCAGGCAGAATATATTTTCAAGTTTAAAAAAAAAAACACATCCCAACCCAAATATCAAGCAGTGTCCTGCCAAAGTTCTAAAGAAAACAAAAGCTCTGAACAACCAAACATTGGGAACCAGAGTTTGTTAACATGTCAGAATCAGTTTTTGGAAGCAGCAGTGTCTTTTGCAGATATCAAGAGAAAATTCTCCTTATTTTCAAATACCTCATCTAGTTCTTGCTTTGTTCAAAATTCATTTAAACCTCATCTTTTAATTTAAATTTCAAACCTAATTTAAATCTGAAACTGAAAACAGAAGTAAGTTGATTCTTCTTTCTAATGTATGAATACAACTGTAAGGCTAGAGATCTGTTAGTTCTAAATTTCTTTTCCTGATCATCTGCACAGTCATTTAATTATGTTGCATGTAAGCTGCCAAGCTTGCTCAGTTTTAAATGCAAAAAGTTTTTTACAACTTTGTGTAATATGTAACATATTTAAGTAGTTTTCGCTAAGATTTTAAAATCCCCCTTTTCTTGCTTTTAACTGAATCTCAGTTTTCATCCAGATGCAGTTTGGCGCTTATAAGATTTGTGTAAAGACTCATCTTGAAAAAAGAGAGTCCATTCACCATTTAGTGAATGTAGTAATACATATTATTAGTTTAAATACATAGGTACTGATTGGCATGTTTAGCTTGAAAGTTACATCTTGTTTTGAATCAACAAGTTTCAAAGATCAATAATAATAATTTTCAGGAAAATAAAAGATTAAAAGTTGTATTTTTAAACCAATAAATAGAAGGAGTGGTGAATGGGCAGGGTCAGAGCAATGCCTGGAGTTAGATGATAGGTAATTCATTTGAAAAGGTGGCTATTAGCTGGGACTTGTTATCAATTGAGTTTTTAAAGTAATTTTTTTATTCCAGATTCATGATTTATAGTAGCTGTGATGTAGGAAATATGGCAGTAAGCACGTTGATTTTTTTGGGGGAGAGAAGCTCAGGTATGCTGTTGAAATTATATTTCTGAACTTGAAGTACTTCTGCAGTATCCATTGTTGGCTGGTTTTGCAGAACTGTTTTGGAATTAAGAATTTAAAGGATTTATTGCCTGACTCCTTGGCTTAAATGAATAGCTCAGTGTGTGTATACACAGCTGACTAGAGACAAGGTGTAAGGGTGAACATTAGGGGGAAGTTAACTCTGAAGGGAGGAGTGGAAAAGACTAAGACTGGATAGATACAGTCTGGATCTTAAATCAAGGAGTAGAGACAGACAAGGAGTGTACCACAACCTGTGTTTAAAAAAACCAAAAACACACAGATAAACGGAAGTGCTTAAGAAAGGAAACTCTGCTAGTGAACCAAGTGAAATGAAGGATGTTCCAACGGTGGTGACTGAAATGCAGGGTGAAATTGAAGATGAGGCAAAACTGGATGATGAAAATAGGCAGAAAGAACGGTGTGGTTTGTAGGTTTGTTTCTGTAGATTAAGTTAAGGGGTGTCTGTAAAGACAACGAAACTAGATAAAGCATAGGGAGATGTGGAGAAAATAGATAAAGGCTTAGGGAGGTAGGATGAGGGGAGGTGCAAGGCATTTCATGGGGAGACTTACCCAGGGAATTGAGCAGAACAGAAGAAAGCTAACAAACTTTTGCAGTTTTTAAATTCGAAAGGACGATATGTTGTTTCAAGATCACTTAATGTCTTCAAAAAAATGCAAGGATCATCTTGTGAAGTGTTGTCACATTTTGGTTTGCATTATAATGAAACACAGTTAGGCTTAACTTTGATTTTTTTTTTGTTTTGTTTTGTTTCCTCCATTGTGTTTTCTTTCTTGCATGTCTGGGAATGTATATGGTTTTAAAAATGCATTTTTTTCCAATCATTTTTTTGGACCATCATCTGATATTTTACAGACCACAGATTGAGAAACTGTGTCCTAGAATGTAATTCCTTTTTATGTGTGGAATGAAATCCAAAATCCTTAAATCTTACCATTCCTCAGCTATCAACAAAAATCTGAAAGCCACAGGCCCAGTGTTTTGCTTCCTTCTGAGGGCTAGTCCACAAAGGATAGCATCCAACTGTTTTGTGCTAAATGACAGTGTGGTTGATCAAAAGATTTAAACCCTTCTGATGACTGATGTGGATTTCAGTGTGATTGCAAATTATGGAATTTTGACAGGGTGAAGTGGGGTAAGGGGAATGAGGAATTCTTGTATAAAAGAGCATAGAAATGTGCCAATAATCATATCCTTTCCTTTCTGCTTAACATTTTGCTTGCAGTGTTTTACTACTCCTGTCTTTTTTGTATGTCCTTATGCTCTGTGCCCTGGCCCCAGAAAGTTCCTCATTAATGTTGTAGTGCTGATCAAAAGGGACACCTACAAGTCAGGGAAGAGCTTGTCTGGGGTTAAGGATGCGCTCTGCCTGTGAGGCTTGCTTCTGCTTCTTACGTTTCCATCAGAAGTGCTCTTGCTCTGTGCCTCTTTCTTCTTCCTAGAAATTAATAAATAATAATTAAAAAAAAAATTGGCCTTTCTGGAGTGAATATATATGACCAGTTCTGGCTTGTGTAAGTGTACAGAGTGTGCCTTCCCAGTTCTGCAGCCAATGCAGCTGAGTCAATGCAGGAATTCTTTTTATTAGCTGGCAATATTCCATTCTTGGAAGAGGTACAGCCTAAACATGGAATAAGGCAGGTGTCCCATGGGCAAAAGTCTACGATCAAGTAATTAAGAGCTATGCTGTGTTCACACAAGGGGCTGAATTAAATTTGCATAGGCAACTTGAGTAGCTTCATTTTTCATTATTAATGTAGGCTCAACATACGAGGTATATTAGTGGTATTACTGATGCAGTTTTGTGTGCAATTTTTCAGGATTTTTCATCTTAAAAAAAATCTTGGAAGTCTGAGTGTGTGGATAGTACTGTTGGGAAATATGGTACCGTAAGGAAGGGAGGAGCAATTGTTCTTAAGTTGTTGCAGAGTTTATTTTTGGAGCAGCAGTGTATTCTGGGACACAGTTTTGTATTGTATCTTCTTCTGATCTTAAATATGTGAGCTCAAAAAGAAGGCAAAGCTAAAGTCTGTTCCCTGAGAGTTACTACTTTGGTTTTCAGATGGTGTTCAATAATGTCCATGTTTCAAAGAGCTGAACAACTTAATTCTGCACCTTAAAGCATTTGTGATTGTTTCCTAAGGCCTTGCCTAGTATTTATAGAACTTGTAGTTATTACAGAAGTTTGCATTTGGAATAATGTTTTGGCAAGCTAAAGGATGCTGTCTGATTCCAAGTCCTCTCTTTTCCTGCTCTTATTCCACAGTCCTGTCTCTGTGCATGGTGATTATGTTATGCTTAGCAATTACATAGATATTTGAGACAGGACCAGTGAGAGAAAGTTTACATCTGCTTGTTTCAGTTAATTTTTTAAATAGTTTGTTTATTTATTTATTTATTTTTATTTTGTGATGGTTACAGTAACTGAAGAAACAAATGCCTTTTATAAACCTTTCCTGTCTCTCTTTCCACCTGCTGTTCCTTGTACCATGGTTTCCCTTAGGACTGCCATGCTCGTTCGGTCCTCCCTTCATGTCCTATCAAGAAGACACTTGTATGTGTTTAGTCTATTCCTCACACGCTTGTCTCAGGTAGCAACTTACTGGCGCATAGTTCATTGATTCAATTTACAGCTCATGCTGTTTAATGAAGCTCCGCACTACTGTTTTAAGTATTTTACTATTTTACTCTCCCTCTCCTGGTGCCTGGTCAGCCAGGTCAATTGGTAACTCCAATTTTCCCCAGTTCAATCAGAGATTTTTTTGCTTATATTTCCTTTTCTTTCCCCAAAGGTTTGAATCTGCGTTGTCTTCAGTTTCACTAACTCCATCCAACCTCATATTCCACTTCTGTGGGACAAGAATGAACTGCTTTGATTGTCTGGAAGGAACAGACCACCTCCATATTTCAGTTTGCATGGGAGAGTTAGGGGGGGGAGCTTTCAAGGGCAAGAACCTCCAGCTTCTTGAGATTTTGCTCACTATCTGCGTTCAGACTGTAGTTGTTAAGAGCAGGCTGTTCAGTGTTACTTTTTTGGAGGGAATTGCACTAATTGAAATCGATAATTGCCTGGTATGTGCATGCATATGAAGAAAGAGGGGGTAGGCATGGCTGTTAGTTTACAAATTTGTTCTTTGGATACCTTCTTTTAGAAATTCTTGAGAAATCAGAATATGGATGGCTAATTTTTTTGTTGTAACCAGCTTTCAAGGCAACTTGAAAAATCTGGATATTGGAACACTTAGCTGTGCTTTGACCTGACACAGCTTTACTCACTGCAGCTCTGCCAATAAAGCCCCCTCTTGCAAATGGTGAAAGAATCTTTCTGCCAGTGAAACTTCTTCATTTGGGGCTGCAACGTGAATAAAGCCAACACAAATGCTTTTCCTGTTGGCGTAACTTGTCTTGTTTCCAGAATAGTTTTGCTGGCAAGGTTTGTAAAGTAGATAGGCTTCAGATAGCTGACCTGTGAAACCACCTTCATTTAAAAGGCTTTGATGTGGGTTGAATGATATTACCCAAGAAGGAAAGCAGT